CCTGACATACTAATGAGAATCCTCACTACACCTTCAATTAAGCCCGAGCAGTACTGAGGTGCGCACACACACACAAACACCTACACACACACACACACACACACACACACACACACACACACACACACGAGGGAATATTTGTCTTCTTACCTGTAGTGCTATTTATTAATCTATAGTGTATGAGTTGCCAATTGTTGAAGAAAAGGGCCAAAGGGATGTCTTCTTTTCCTCCAATGTAATGGAGTTTAATGGCACTCTGCTTGTGCAAAACAATACATTTAAAATTCTAGAAATCATAGTCCGATTTCTTTTTCTACACCTACCTGAGAAAAATGCATGAAGTCATGGTTAAAGGCTTGTGGTAAAATAATACTTTTCAGTAATCAGCTGAGATGTAAAGTTAACTAGTGTGGTGCTATGCAGCATTTTGAATGTGTAAGCATTCTTCTGTACCTAAAATAATAATACCTACATGAATATACTTCCAAAAATGTCTAATTATTATCTTGAAAAGAGACATCACTTTCTTTCAAATTAACTTGGGCAATTTAGGCCCCGCAAACCAAAAGTGCCATCTAGTTTCATCCATCCCTTATATTAGAGAGAAAGCAGACCTTTCTTCAACACATGACAACTCGCAACAGAATAGAAATGGCACTTCAGCTCAGAGGATAAAATATTTTATTATATTTAAAGCGGCATCGTCCCTTTAACATTATTTGTCATTTGAATGAATTGTTATCAAGCTGAGAGTGACCGCTCCAATCAGCGCCTCCTCTGCACTGTGTGGGCAGAACAAATGGTGTTAGACAGTAAGCAGCTAATTTTACAGCTGCAAGAAGTTATAATTAAACGCGGAGAGGAGAGAAGAGTTGTTTCACTGTGCCCATCCTAATAGACACTGACAAACATCCAATATGTGGCCAACTAAGCATATTGATTCAGAGCTCTTTATGGATATTTGCCAAACTTCCCTTGAATGCATCTCAAAAGTTTGGAGATGTTTTTCCTCTGACTTGTTCTGTCTAAAGATTCTGTCTTTGTAGATGATTCACAATTCACCCGGTTCCTCCCTGCAGACATTCAGCTGCTCTGTGGAGAATTATCCTGACTCTGAACAGACTCTTTATCGATGCAGCCTCACTACTGGTCATTCACTTTCACACTGTGGACGGTGAGCTAGACCGACCAAAACAACGACTGCCGAGATTCATGCTGAGAAGCTGTGCAGAACTTCAGTTTCGAGCAATTCAATGGAAAGCAGGGAAAGAAGGGGATTCAACAGGTCGTGTCTCCTTCCTTTCAAGGTGCAACCCTTCTTTTCCTCATTTAACGTTAACAGGGTTAGCTGCAAGCGCAGACATTCTCATTGCCTCAACACAAAGAGAAGAAGAAAGTCCTACAGCTAGGGCGTCTGTTTGTTCATTCAGGAACCTTTTTCATGATTTTAACATATTGTCCACCCTTCCTTGACACACAACAGACAGCTGAGAGTCAGCTAACGTACATCGATGGCTCCTGCGATGTGCATGAAAAGCCATGAATATAAAGTGTGTGTTTGTGGCCTCCATTGTGCTGAGTTGACAGCTGCTGGGCAGAGAGATAGCCGTACAGCAGGACCTGATGGTGCCGGCTCCTTCTTGTCTATTGGGCCATCTTCCAGCTATTTCAGCCCTCCATCGCACTTCTGCTAATCTCATTATCCACAGCACCATTACGCTGATAGCACCAAACTCAGAAAACATGGTATGGGCTGCTAAATGTTATCTGGGAAGAGCAAACACTCCTCAAACTAATGCCATTTCCACACTGAAATGAGCCCCAGGTTAATTTACAATCCGATTTATAGAATGTATCCTGCTATGAGTGGGGAAAGGAATCTGCTGCAACGTGAGTCTCTGAACCAGCGTTGAGTGATTGACAGCTCCTCTGCAGCAGCACTTAATGCAAGTGCAGTGCACATGTCAGATGTTATTACCTAATAAACAGGAAAATGAACTACATGGACAAAGGCACGTGTCGCAACCTACTTTTGTTCACTTTAGTTCTGGAGCTGTTTTCCATAGCGTGGGTCAGGCACTTAGGTTCTTGCTAAAATAGATCCCTATTCACAAATAGGGATAAATGCTACTGCAGGGGTAGGGGTTGTGCACTATGTTAAAATCCTCCAACTGGCCACCTCCAGCCCAACAACCGGCAATTTCCGACATAGTTTTGTAATGTGGGTGTGTGTGCGTATGTTCTGGCTCTACAACAGGCTGTTTTTCCTGCTTGCATCTATATAATTATTGACGTTGGGAGGCTTGATTTTTACAGGAAGAATAATTTTGCCATTGAACCAAGTTATTTCATGTTTTATACAATGTTTATTTACAGTTTGCTAATTCGCACGATTAAATGCATACCAAGTTAGCACTTCATGTTTGCCTCGTATGAATGTGCACACAGCAGAAACTGAATTACTCTGGTCCTGAAGAAACTGAATTACTAATTAAAACCTAAAGCACCTCAATTTCCTGTACGAGTTGGATCGCTCTCACAATAATCTCTTCTTTATTGTGGCAAATTAGTGAATCTCAATCTGAACATACTGGCATAACCCAGTCACTCCTTGTTGTACTTGATACAAAAAAAATTACCCTTTTTTTTTTACATCTGAGTCTTCCAGTCAGTGTTACTCTGCGATGTCGGTCTCCCGGCAACACTTTCACAGCTTTATGAATCCTTTCTCTTTCCCCCTCCCTTCCTCAGTCCTCCTTTCCACCTTCATGTTCCTCTGTCTCTAGAGCTCATTACATGCCATTACCACAGCCAGAGCAGAGTGTGGAGATGGTATGAATACACCAGGAAATGTAGACTGTATTAAAGAGGTCATGTGCTGTCAAGTTCACATATATGTATCCCCTGTCTGAAGAATGGCACGGGACAGCAGCTACTTCATTGTCGCTGTCGCACTTGTTCAGACAGGCTGGATGAATTATTACTGTGAAAGTTTTATTCATTTATCTACAGCGCCAAATAATATCACAATGAAATGAAAGTATAACACTACTTTTGATGCTTGTCAGTTGCAACAACTGACAGCCACATTATATCTGATATAAAAAGCCAGATATTCTCAATCGGAGAATATGAATACATCTACATTGTAGCACAGACAGTAATTGCTTTCGTGTCCCTCTGCAGTGGTGGCCATGTATTCTGTCTGCCAGCTAGCTGAAAGCTCCTCACGATGCCCCACGGTTACTCTCAACTCAGCGCTTTGCTTACAGAATAAACATGACATGCTGCCTGTGCATGAACTTGAAACCCGCCAGGGTCAGGAGAGGGTGACAGTGAGTCATCAGAATATATATACAATATATCTAATATACTTGGGAGTGTCCTTTTGAGTTGTATTGGGAAAGAGGAGAAGAGAGGTCTTTGCTGTGTGTTGTACTCTGTGTGGTAACTGGTATGAAATGGCTTCTACACGTGCAATAGCTCAGCCAGTGTCGATGCTCTTATTAAAAACTGCTTCTTCAACGTACAGTCTGTTCATCGTTCACTTTCAGGAGTCAAAACTGCAGATTACTGATGAATCGGTATGTGTGCCTCCACTAACTGCTGTGTCTTTACCTCCGTCCCCAGGTACACAGAAGAAGAGATCCGGCAGAAAGTGAGCACGTTCAGACAGATGCTGATGGACAAGGAGGGCGTTATCACCAGAGAGGGCTCACACACACAACCAGTGTAAGTAACTGTATATCAGGTTTCTTGTCTGTGATGTCCAACGTTACACCAAACATAGGGATGCAACACCAAAGCTTATATCTGTTTCTGTATTTATCTATATTTGGCATTGGTGAAATTTATTTACGTCTTTCACTAAAGTACAAGTTAAGTGTAGTTTGTCAAGATGGGGCAGGGATAATACAAGTACGTGGTATTTTTTTTATTTACTGTTTTTAAAGCCACAGTGGCCCAAATGTGGCCTGCAACATATTCATAGGGCTGATTTCTTGAAAATTCCTTTTTCATTCTGAAGCAGTGTTTGATCACTTTCATCCCCGAGTTACAGGAGTGACGAGTCAGCAGGCAATAACGTCAATAAAATACGGGTTTTAAAAAATGGTGAATCACTGCAACCCTGAGAGAATCATGACAAAATAAAAGGTCAGAAAAACATTGCGCCACACTCCAGGATTTTCTTTAGAAATTAAAGGTTGTGCATGCAATGGTAGCAGGAGTTCCACAGACAAATAGATTTGGTTTGAAAAGCCAATGAAAGTGCCAATCTTCATGAAGATCACAGTAACAATCACCTGCAACATCAGTCAAGCTTAATGCTGCCCTGCACAACTCAAGGAATTAAGGTTAAACCAAGAACGATGGAATATTAAAGGTAAACCACGAATGAAGGAATATTAAACTATCTACACATTTATATTTGTAGCTTATAGCTTATTTGTTCACATTCTGTCATATCTGGTGCTTTGACCTCTAACAGTTCCTATTCACATGGCACGGGCAACAAGCACATGGATTACTTTGATGCAGAAGAAACAGATTGTACTGGTAGCTTGTTGATATCCAAACACACAAAGTATATCCTTGGTTAACAGTAAATATAATGTATAAAAGAGTGAATTCTGCTGATTCTAACAAGGTGTTCATGATGAAATTGTGGTACGTTTCAAGGTCATATTTCTGCCCTTTTTACTGGGAACAAAGAAATCATCGTTGTAACAGCGACAAAGCATATGCTTACTAAATGTGTCTAAATCTTAGTTATGTGCCATGGATTTGTATTCTAAAACGTTTCAACCTAAATACTTACAGTTATAATCAGAACACACACTTTATTCGGAATCATGGTAATAGCACTTAAATAGAAGGTCATATTTTTATTTCCATTTTGACTCAACTTGACGTCATTTATACTAAGATTCATGACAGATTGGTCTTGGTGTGTCAAAATCACATCAGAGTGTATCTTGGCACGAAGCTCATGTGGGTAGAACTGATGAACAACGCCTGTTTGATTGGTGAAAATTGTTCCCATATGTTCCTAAAAATGAAACAGCACTTTTTAAAGTAATTTATAGCCACTTATTTTGTGATCTCCCTGACAGAATCCACTTTGACAATCACTGCCCTCTGTGCATGCCTTATTATCCACCTCCTTTTTGCCGTTCATTCTCTTTTTTTCTCTGCAACTTATTTATTAGAAAACCCAGACTCTTGTATTCTTTATGATAAGTTAATTATATGAAATGAATCTAATAAAACCAGACAGCCATACAAGCCGAAATTGATTTCTAAAAGCGGTTATGAGAAATGGCCTGCCATCTAGTAATGTCTTTAGGCGGTTGGCTCAAAAGAATACGGGTTGTGTTTGCAGAAACGCTACACATTATAATTTGGATCCTTGGCTTTTTCAGTCATTTATTAAATAAAAAAAAAAAAAGAGAATTGTTAAACCCTGATGTTTTGAAAATAATCAGAAGCATTTGAAAGTCTACTCTAAACTCTGCTGGAAGCCAGTGAGGCAAAGATTGCCGTGATAATTGTCAATTTGTTTAGCGCTAAGCCTTAGCTTTGAGTGCATGCTGGAGGTTCCCATGTGAGGCGAGAATTAAAGTAAACATAAATAAATGTTGAGGGTATAATCTCCATACCAATCCCACATAGATACTCCCAAAGGCCATGGGAAACAGCACAGCAGTACGTAGGTGTGGTGTCCCCTAACAGTCCCTGCATCATACTGTATGTGTGAATGATTTAGAGAGGCAGTGTGGCCACCCGCTGTGTGTGAACTAATGACGGTGGTAATGATGCTGATGCTTCCTGTCTCACTGACTAGACTAATGCTTCTCCATCCTCTGCACTTCAGCCGGTGTCTGGCATTAACCAGTCCACACAGAGGAGGAGGGAGGTGTAGAGGACTGTAATAAGGAGCATTTAAAGATTTGTTTCCAGTAGAAAGTCAACTATGAGGATACAGAGAGAGTAGTTTGTCTTGCTTTTTCGCATTAGTACACCCTCAAGGGCACTTCTGAGTCAGGTCAATTTAGGATTTCAGAGCTTGCCTCAATTCCTGCAACCTTCCCTCTTCAGAAAGGCCTTGATGTGGAAAATTGGAGAAGGTTGTAATTTACGAGGTTGTTATCCCACACACACTCAACACTCCCTGAGGCCTTTACACACAAACACACACTTTCTGACGTATTCTATGTCTCTCTGCCCACAATTGTTACTTCACATGTAAATTGCCTACTTCAGGAGAATTATGTGAAACATGCCTTCATCCACCCGGGTGTTGGCCTCAGGGCAAAACTGTGCTTCAGGCCCCCTGATACTCACTGCCTGCAGCAATACGCAGATTTACAATCCTCCACATTAATATGTAATATAAAGAGGGAACCCCAACGAGGGGCCTAAACAGCCAGCTGTATCACCTCATATTGATGGTTAGCTTTTGTCACTGCCATGAACATTTCTGTGACTGTTTGACCAATCCTGTTCCTTAGAGCAGGAAATCCACTGTGCCACCTGGAGGTCGACATTTTGGTTTTTAGTGAAATATCTTGAATACATTTTTGATTATATTAAAACAACATTTTGCCCAAAATGACTTTTGTGATACCTTATGTCTCCACTAGGGCAACCATGATGTTAATCTCCCTAAACAATTTCTGTATATTCATGCAGAATATTTATTGTGTGACCTGCACCAGTTAATCTCATCATAATTTAAGTACAAACCAATGCTACATGACTTCAAGCAAAATAGATGAATATATAAAGAGAGTACATGTGCGTGGATTTACTAAAGGAAAGAATGCTCCATCACATTCTCAAATATAGAGCTGCCTCCAATGTGTCTGGTTGTGCTTGGCTGGGAGGTTTGATTCAGATCTCTTCCACTGGGCATATTAATATTGACAGGCTAAGGCCGTTCAGCTGTAGCTTAATACTCTAACACACTAGCAGTAAACAGCCGGCAGTAAGCAGATGAGCTACTGTAGCTCCTAACTCTGTTTACCGATGTCCCACATTGATTTCCTGCACAATGGATGTGACCACGGGCCGAGAGAAGGAGTGCAGTGCGTAAAGCCTATCAGGTTTATACACAGAGACTGTCCGAACCAAGCAGGATCATGGGAAGCTCACTCTGGACTTCAATAGATATTCAATATCTGATCAAATGCCTGACATATCTTCAATAGCAAACAGAAAATCCTTTCATTCTCATCAAAAACGTATTGACTTGATGCACCAAAAACATCAAGGCTTTTCCTCGAGGATCTCAGAATTGATCAGCTAAGCTTGAAGCTCCTGGCCAGTCATACTTTATCTCAATGTGACAACCATAAATCTACTCAATGTAGCCCCACCCTCCCACTGAGGAGTAATCAATCCGACCTCCACCCACCTCCTCCCAGGATAACACACTATAACTCTCTGCAACAATATAAATATATCCAGGCCTCCGGGGGCAGAGTGGCTGTCTGACTCTGAGTAGGGATATGAATTTGCGGCACTACTTTGTGCTGCAGACTGACCGTAGTCCATCACTGCCATGTCCCAGGGACAGTGGCTGTTAGGGAGCCTCTCTCCTCAGCAGGCCACTGTCCAGCACGGAGACACTCACTCATCTGCCCAACAGAGAGGCTGTGTGGACCAGGAGCTGGGCAGATGTCTTCAGCATATTGGAGCATGGCAACACTTGAGAGATTAGAGACAGGCTGGGGAATTAGTTGTTTTATCTTTAATGACTAAGCATGGGGACCACTAGATACTTCCAAATATTGCTAATTGCTCTTTTTGGCATTTTGCTTCACTCTCAGTCCTACAGGGACTAGTCGTTGGCAAAAACAAACCTGCATGTAGGTGCTCTATAAACACAGTTTCTGGCATTTATTTCCAAATGAAAAGTGGATTAATAAGAAAGATCTAATGCTGTTCAATTTCCTGAACACTAACTATTGCTGGATATCACATACTGGATATATAAATATTTAATATGGATATTCACTACGAAGAGCACTGTACTCTACTGCCGTATCTAATATTTAACATTGGTTTGATGTTTAATTCTGGCATCTTTTTCAAGAACTATATAGATTTTTAACAAAATGCGCGGATGAGTTTACCCTGAGTAGAGATGGCCTGTTTCCTCTACAGCTGCAGCTACAACCTTCACTCATCAAAGGGGTCAAGCCTGAGAGGCAAAACCCAGGGCAAAGATAATTTATAAATCACAAAAGCTGCTTCTTTGGCAGCTCCTCTCATCTCTCACCTTGTTTTTCGATATTCGATTTCTCAGCTCTTTGAATTTGCAATGGCTTGATGTTCTCCCTTAATCTGAAGTGTCATCTGTTCTATATCGACTCACACAATGTTTTAACTCAAAAGAATTCCAAACCTTATTAAAATTAAAATTATCATGTGAACTGTGTCACAACCACACTGCCTACACTTGTTTACTTCTCTCCCTAATTGCTTCGTGTTTTTTTTTAGACAACTTGTTTTCGAGCCCAAGTTTAAATTAACAATAATAATGTTATTCAAGAATATCCATCACATCGAGTGATGCGGTGTTTGTGTATGTATGTGTGTGTGCGTGGGTGATTTGCAGTGCTCTGGATGGCTGTCATTGGGCAGTGAGGTTTATTTTTGCTGGTGCTTTGAATCCCTGCTGTGCCCAGTGGTGCTCAGCCAATTAGGGGTTTTGTTGCTCACCCTCTCCTAACTAGCCATCAGGCCTGTGCCCCGCTCAAATCCTTACACACTCTCCTTCTAGTTTCTTCACACTTACTCTGACTGTGTTTGAAATTGCATTCTTGCATAGTACTATTCATGCAAATTATAGTATTCATGGGTTTAAAAGATAACCGATTTGTAAATGCAAGTAATGGGATTCAGCTGTAGCCTACACTACCAACATTGAACTTATCAAAAAGTGGGAAAGTTCTGAAGTTTAAATGTACTTATAAGCCTATATTACACTATTGGTGGACAGTAAAACAAATTGTAAAATCAACTTTCCTCCCATCTTTGCCCTGGTAGCTGCATACTTTACTATATACGGAATTACGGACACAAAACAGAACTATATTTTGTATGCAGTACGTCACTATGCAGTATGTGTGTATGAAGTACATAATATTGCGATTTCAAACACAGCCGTTGTTTTTTCTTCACCAACCTTCCTCTCTTCCGAAGTAAAATTGTCTCTGCACAGTGTGCCGAGTGTGTGTTTGATGTCCTAACTAGAGACACACTCTTCATGCTTTGTCAACTTCTTTCTGTATGTTGCTTCACCCTCTTCATCTCATCACTCCTGTCTCCTTCCTATTGAGGCTGCAGGGCTTTTCATTGAGGTTATGCTTCTGTCAACATCACTCAAAACCAGATAACTTCTACATGAACTACCATATGCTACATCTTGGTGTTAAAAGTAGCAGCAAGCCCAGAGCATGACCTGCTGGGTTTGTATCAATACTGGGACTACCAAGGTCAGACAGATAGGACTTCATAGTGGGGAAAATAATCAGTGTGGTGTGTTCTTTATCTATTTCTTTAGCCTAGCCTGCAAGGTCAGATCTGGTAGATCAGAGGATTCCACATAGGAGACGAGGGAGTTGTGGCACAGGGAGGATTAGGGAGGAGTCTGCTGCCATCTGTTGTGAGGAACAAGTGGGAAGATATTAATCCCACAAGCTGAGCTGTAAGGGCGAGAGAGATGATGATATTCTCACTGCTGGGGTGGGAGAAGATCACAAATGTCAATGTACAAGTAAAGTGACAAAAAAGTTTAGTGTGTCAGCATCACATTTCAAGTAGCGTTGTTTCTGAGTTTGTTTGCACCCAAGTTAGGCACCAGATGGGTTGATACATGCATTAGCCTGCAGCGTAGCTTTAGCAAAGTCTGTCCACCTCCTTGATCCAGACTGAAATATCTCAGCAACTATTTAATGGTTATTGATGAGACATTCATGATCCCAGAGGATGAATCCCACCGCAGCACCACTAGCATTTTCACAGTGATTTTGGTCAAATGCCTCAAAAACTTAATTTATTGGAGGAAATTCAATGACATTATGTACAGACTCCCCCAAATTGGTTGTGGCATAATTGGGTCTGAATTGTTAGCTAATTTAGTATTAGCGCTAGACCGATTACCAATGTATGCTTATCGATATTTGGATATTGCTATATACTGAAAATTGCACTACAGGCATGACATTACGTTTGTCTACCAGACAGCACTGCCAAGTTGAAATCTGAGAAAAATGTGTAAAGGCAGTTTGTTTATGCTATTAGTTTGATTTTCTTTTTAGAATAACTTCTCTAAACACAATTTATCCTTATCAGATATTTTAAACTCTCAAATACCAATGGCAGAATCAGTCTGGATTTAGGAAGCATGCTAACACACTGAACTCATAGCATGGCAGACTTTCACTGTGAAGTCAGGAATGATTTTTGAGCAGGGTTTGCCTTATTTTACAGTTCTTCCTCTTACTCACAATATTCACACACTTCCCATTAATGATCCTTGATTGTTGTATTTTCAGGGTAAACCACCTGCACTACGAAGCTGATTATGGACAGAGCCATCAATTGGTCAGCTATGAAGATGGAGACTATGACCATGATTACCACAGCGACAACAGGTAAAGCACATGTTTGAACACACATACTGTATAATGGGGATGTGATGACCCCTGAAATGATCAATTCAATAGCAGCCTATTATCTCCTTCACATGGCGTGTGTCTTATGATAAACAAGAACTTGTCCCAGAATAGAAATGCTCTTCAAATCCTCGACACTCTCTCCCAGTAACTTGTCTGCGGATAAACATTGTATATTATTTATGTTTTTAAAAAAAACACACAATGCAGACGGTCATTCAGACTTTGATTTCTGAATTTGTCCCTTTGCAGAAAATATCAATTTCCTGTTTCCATTATATGACATTTGGCGTGTTATGGCAGAATGAATTAAGGAAATTAGAAAATATCCCCTTATCGACTTGCGCCGCAGAAAATAACTCTAATCAAAAGTGTGTTGCGATACAACACACTTATATTAACATTCACTTGTGAATTATTTCTGCCTTTCTCATTTGGAATCTCCCCCCCCCTCATCTTTGTTCTCTCCTACTGTGGCCTACTCAGAGTGAAGAGGAAATCGAGCAGCTCTCCATCCCCTCGTCCAAAGAAACGGAAGAAGAAGAAATCTGGCCGCAGAAGGAGTCGGTAAGTGGAAGCAGCTTTCACTGATGAAGTGGTTTCCATTTTCTCCCTTTTTTCTTGACAGAATAATTACACTGGGTTCTTTGGTGAAATGATTTTTGCAAATATTGTAACGAGCCATCAGAAACTGTAATTGAGAAAAGGAAAAATAGGCAGTCATTAAAAGCATATTCTCATTTTCCATTTTCTTTTGACTAGGTCAGCTAGATAAATAGAGAGAAGGAAGTGGTACGTTCTAGAGAATAAAGAATAAGAAGAGACGGGCAGAGAAAGAATAGATGAATTACATCGAGAGACCGGCTGAGCTTATATAGGATCTCACCTTTGCTAACAATGATCTCCTCTGAGATGAAACACAATGATGAGTCAAAAGCCGTTGGCCCCTATCTGAGGCTTACTTCATGGCATGCATATTTCCCCTTCTCTCTATCAAAAGGTTTGGCAGCTCCTCACCCACTCACAGAGAGAAGAAGAAAAAGAGTGGGAAGAAACACAAGCGAGACAGGTGAGTGTGAACATGCTGTGTGAGAGTCAGAACAAGCAAGAGCCTCAGACTTTATATGGCTTTGTCAACAGTTGCTTTGACAGTGATTGGTAGTGATAGGAGGGAAGGGAAGGAGGAAAGACCCACGGATAGGAAGTATCATAGGAAGTATCAAAAAGTGTGAAAGCAAACTAAGAAAGATACAAATAAAAAAAGGGAAAAGGAAAGACAAAACGGAAAGTAGAAAAGAAAAGAAGAAAGGGAAGTCAAAAGTATAGCAAGATAAAGGACGTAAACAAAGTAAAGAATGAAAAGCAAGAAAGGGAAAATAAGGGAAGAAGGAAAGGATGAAAGATAATCATCAATAAGAAGGAGACAAAGACAGTACAAAAGTTAAGGAAGCATCAGAATGGTTGAAAGAATGGAGAGAATAAGAGGAAAACAAGCTGATAAAGGAAGGGAAGAAAAAAGGCTTAAAAAGTAAAAGAAAAAAATGAAATGTAAGACATGCTAAAGATGACATAAAGGACAAAAGGAATGAAAAGGAGATATACATGACAGAGAGAGCCAGAAACGAACTAGGTAAGACATTACTCATGAAAAGATGAGAGGGAAGACGGAGAAGAGAGAGAAATTACAAGAGCTCATCAACAAATACTCTTGCAATGCCTTGGGATATCATAACCACAATATGCAATTGTAGAGTGCCCCCCCGATTTCTCCGCTTCCCGCCTGACTCCGGGGTGCGAGGCTAAATGTGTTGTTCTAATAACTCGGCCTGTACGGGGGCGCACAACACAAGAAAAATGAGCCTCTCACCAAACTGCTGAGCATCACTGCACCGCCCCGCTCCCTTCCCCATCTCCCATCCATCCACGCACATCCCATTCCCCCCACCCTCCTTCCCACAAAGCTGCTCTGCATTGCAGGCACTGTTGGTGTATGAATCATGTATAGATGAAGACAGGAGGGGGGAAAGAATGCAGGGTTCCTCCCCAGAGAGGAGCCATCCTCCCTAAATCCTAGTCTCCTTTTTGAAAATGCACATTATTCGGAGCTCAAAATGGATATCGCTTGTTGTTTTTATTACAACAACATTCAATAAAAAGGGCTTGTGTCCATTTGGATGCATACTATAATATATAGGGCTGTACCAAATGGATTTTCTTTTGATATTCAAAGCTTTCATTTCTTTTTTGAATGAAGCCTTGATTCACTTTCTGCATCTTTTATGAATGTGTTGCCAAAAAGAGAAAAGGAAAAAGTCCTTGAACAAAATACTCAACTTGAATAAAGTTGTTTATCCGTCTATTTTATTCTATCTACTTTAGTTGATGAACATAACTTTTAAAGCAAAGTTTTTTTGTGATTTGAATTTTTTACTTTAAAACAATCTGGACTTATTGGAACTGCTTGGATAACACGAGTCGGAAACAGTTGTACACAGCCACCGTCAAAATCTCATTCAACAAAAAGTATAGTTATAATGATATAAGTGCAGTCTAGTATTATTCTGCATCTGTGCAAAAAGTAAACACAATATGAATAGACATGCACACACAAAAACGCAACAGATGAATTTGGATTCAAAATTCAATGTCAAGGTTGTGAATGAAGCTTCAAAGCTTTGAAGTCCTCAGTGAAGCCCTGCTTCTCTGTCCTTGTAGTGGGAGGTAAGGTGGGGGATGTATTGGTGACCAGAGGCTGAGAGAGAGGGGAAGAATAACTAGCTGTCCAGAATAACGCCTCATATACATACAGTCCCCAGTTGAGTCTCTCCAGTGGGGAAACAGCCACAGCTCTGAGTCCCGTATCTGCCACATACATTACTGTGACGGCTTTATTACTCCCTTTCAGTGGATCAACACACTTTGCTGCTGCCACTGCCTCCCACTCCACTGCATGCTGTATGTAGGTGTGTTAAACAGCAGGGGGGATGTAGTGCTCTTTATGAGAGCAACGCTTGCAAACCGGTCTGACTAATCACCATGGAAACTGCAATGAGGATGAAAGTGATATGGAGGTGATGTTTCAGTGGAACGCTGAGGACTGGGGAAGGGCCCGCCTTCCCTTCCTTGCTGTATACTCAGTGCCTGGCCTAAGAGAAACCGGTTTATTTGTATTGCTCTAGCGCAGAGAGCAACATCCTTTTACAGCCAGAAATATATATTTATTTGAAAGTGTGGCATCCAAACCTGTAGAACACCAGCTGGAAAAGCCTGATGAGAGCGCTCCCTGTGGACATCTCCACATAAATGGACGTGTGCATGTGATTCAGACATGCACATCCCTAAGAGTGCAGAAATACATGGTGAAATATTCCATTTAGATAACATGATCCTCCTGCTGGTCACAGTATCTTGAACACGTTCATATTCCATGACAAAACTAAGCCTGAGAGCGTTGTGTGTCAGTGTGTAATTCTTAGAACGCAGTTTTCATACATCTTGAGGAATATCTGTCATCAAATGTACATACATATTTTATTGAATTAAATTAATAATGTTCTGTCCACTCTAAATATGTTTAAACTGACATTTTCCATATTCTTTTTTAAAATGGGATTTGTAATTCATCCTCTAGCTTTTGTCCAAAATACTACATCTGATTTCTTTAGTGTTAAGTCATTCCCAGAACCACTTAAACTCTGGAACATTGTTATAAAAATATATGTTTCTGTGAAAAAGGTTATCCAGCCTTATTACTCAGTAATCCTGTTTCCTGGAACAGGCCCCTGGTGCACACTTGTAGCCAACTGTGTATGAATTATTCAGTTCATCATTATGATGATTGTGGTGTTTTTTTTATCGTTACAGATCTGCATCAGGCTCGAGAAAAAAGAGGAGATACAGGTGTGTATGGAACAAGGAAATACACAATACATAATAACATGCATAACATGTGTAAGGTGTGTGTTATTGTCATTTATGCCTACTGATTGTTCAAAAGACAATGCAATCCGTATGGGTGAGTGGTACATTAATTGAGTTCCTTTTGCAAAGGGTGTGAGTGCGTGTTTGCCATGCTTTGAAGTACTGTACACTGTACTTCGTTATCTTACATAGGACATTTGTTTCAGATCCGGCAGCCCAAAGAACAAACACAAAGACAAGATCAAACAGAAAAAGAGGTGAGCAGCATACCGAATCACTAAGGTGCCATTTAAATGAAAAGCCTATTGGTCTGCTTTTTTCTGCACAAGAGTTTCACATTTTATCAGTAAAACTTGGCTTGAACAGTATTCTACAGAAGCCCTGAGAGGCAAGTGAGAAACGTTTTAATTTTTATGATTAACTTTAACCAAAATGTGTTTTACAACAACACAAATTATTCTGAAAAAAACTGTTTTCTCAAGTATGAAAACTTTTGGTGAAAATACGATTTAGAAACTTTGAAAGAATGTCCAAGAAAAAGCTATTCAGAAGGGAACACCAGATCGGCCCCTAGGGGCTCTGTATCCAATGTGTGTGAATAAACACATCTTGTCCTCTGCACACAGTGATACAGTGAACAATAGTCTCAGTCAACAATAGGTCCATTTGGAAGCTGGTCCGGTGTCTCATACATTTATATTAGTATTTTTGTACACCTGTTATCCCAGGCTCAGACCCTCAGAGACTGCTAATGACCATAAAGCCCAGAGTGAATCTTCTAAGCATTCAACACAATCCCCACTGTCTTGATTAGAATATATATTGAAAGTGTTTGGCAGAGCATGAACTGTTTTACTTATCATGAGTTTGACTAGCTGTTCCATTTGTGTCCCTGTGTGATTTGTGCGTACACACATGGCCCTCATGTTTCTATTTGTATGCGTGTGTGTGGTGTGTTTTTATGCATTGGTTGTCCTCCCTCAGGTCCCCTGGTGAGACTCCCAGCAGGAGTTCACAGCGTCAAGGCAGCTGCTGTAGCTCCCGCAGCGCCTCCCTGTCCTCCACCCGCAGCACCTCCAAATCCCCCTCCAGGTACCCTCCTCGTGTTATTCTTCTGATTCTACTTTATAGCTTATTCAAATGATTCTCTCTCTAAAGAAGCAAGGGACAGGGCAGAGAATGTATTTTATGGGATATTTTGTCATTTGTGACATTTAACCAAGGTTTCTGGGCTTGCATTCATCACACTTTGAAGAAGTTCCCTTAAGAATGATCTTAAGAGCCAACTAATGAGAAAAAAGTTTTTTGCTGAGTGTGAAATTTAGGACACATTTATCAAGCAAGATACTGCTACTTTAATATCGATGCAGCAGAACCAGGTACATTTTTTCCATGCAACTCAACCACCAAAAGTTAAGTTTAGTCATGTACTGTAGCTGCTACATGAGATCGGCCTATGAGATCTAGTGAGTCTGTTCAAGTGGGACAATTACAAGGTCATTTATCCTATTTCACACGGCTCCCTCTTTATCCTTAAAAAGCTTTATACATCTATTTATTTACATGTGCAGCAGTATTCTCCAAACAAACTTTGATGCGCTAAACCAGTGGAGTTCCCTCTATGAACATCTCACATCACTATATGATTTAATTTATTATAACTATGCTTGGATCAGGAACATTATAATTTTGTTATGTATAAATATGGACGAAATAATGGGAAATGGTTCAAATGAAACATAGGAAACGTAGCTGGTGCTAGATACACATTTTGCTGGTGGCATACAAACTACATCAGATACATTTGATGGAGAATGTAGTAGCTCATTGTCAAGTATACAGAAAATAAAGATTTAGTTCAGTGTGTTATTCTCGTTTTTTTTATCTCTAATAAAATACAAGTAGTAGGCTATAGCTACCCTGTCCTGAACTAGATTATTGACTCTTCTGACTATATTCATATTCTTCCTCATGACCAAAAACACTCCTCACCTCTGTCTCCATACTGCCGTCCCATTAAGATTTACTCTTCAGAGACCTCTGGAGCCAAACCAATTTGAATGAATATATATTTTGTGAGAAAGAAAGACTTTTAGCTAATGTGTTTACGTGGCTCTGCTCGTCCAGATTAAACTCCAAGCACAAGACGGACGGACAGAAGGCGCCCAGCACCTCGCTGTCCCCCGGCACCAACCCCCCCGCAGTGTGGCACAACGGGGACCACTCCCAGCGGAGCCGCAACGGCAGGGCCGGCAGACCCAACCACGGCGAGGGCGACAAAGTGCACGATGTATGTAATCTCCTCTATTTTGCTCCCACACCCCCACACCCGCCCCCCCCCCACCCACTCCACGGTATCTACCACAGTCTCTGCAGATGAGTTTTATCTTGCTCCTTTTGTGTTGGTTGACATGATTCTGATCTTGTTTGATATTGAAAGTGTTGTTCTGTTGTCACTAACACCCAGGTTGTAGGCCAGTTTTCTGATATCATTATTTGACGTGTTAAAGACACGTGCCGTAAAACGTGCCGCTCCTGCTGCTTTGTTTCTGGCTCTCTTTGACTCCTCTACCATCTTGTTTGTTTGTAGTTTGTTCTTGGTATTTACCAGTAACACAAGGGGGGCAGCAAGAATAAGGTTTCTAATGTTTCTGTATAGCAAATATCCTCTGAGTCTAGTCCAACAGAAATATGAGCAGCACTGGCACACAATCTTTCCTAACGATTGAAGAAGAAGATGTGCTGTTACTTCCAAGCAGGAGACAAATGATCGAATCAAACCAAGGACGGGTATGATTACTTCAAACTTTAGCTGCCCCAAGAGGTTTATGCCCGTGAAAAAATATGAAATAAATAACAAGAAGAAGAAGAAACGTATGCGTAATGAGAACTCTTAATGCAGATAAAGTTTGAATTAGCCAATGTTGAGAGTCACAATTAGATGTCTGATGGTGCTTATAAGTGATACAAATCTACAGTTTACCCTTGAAGTGACAAATCCAATTACTTGGAAAGTCTTGATCCACGCATGCAGCTCTCCAATCCAGATAATAGTGGTGTGTGCCTGGCTGCATGGAAGATTTAAAATGCCTAACTAAAAACAATAAATAGATAGAATGAAATACAGTATACATTGTCACAAACACATGTATATTTAGCCAACCACAACAGCTGAAATCCAGATTATGTGATGGACAAGTTAGCTTTTAGCCCAGAATCACATTTCATTAGTTTAGTAGTTGATGAGTCATACAAATATTTTACAGGAAGTAAAAAGAAATGCATTCGATTTTAAATGTATTATTATCTTTTTAAATATTTTTTTATGTTGCTGTATCTTTACAATCAAATCACAACACATGAAACTAGGTGAGGAGATGTATTGCATTTCATGTCATCCAGCAGGGAGCAGCCTAGACATGCCGTAACGAAATGCAAAACAACGGTTTCATTAGTTTTAATGAGTAGGTCCAAAGGTGCTTTTTTTTTCTTCAATAGTAAAAGCTAAAGAATTGTCTAATATATGGCATTTTAAAACTTCCATAGCGGCGAGCCGAGTCCTAAAACTATGTTGTGTAAATTAATCAAAATCGGGTGGGCCCTCTGAGTAACACAGAGGTAACAGCTCTGTCTTAAAATAAACATAATAGGCTCTTAAAGCAAAAGTGGATAATTCATAACCACATTTCCCTTTTCAAATAGAACTGCTCCCTGTTTGTTTCGGCTGTTTTGAAAATAAGCACAGTTCTTATTACCTAAATGACACTTTTCAAATCACCCTCGCTCTTATGGAAACAACCTTATTACTTGTAGTCAATGGATCATCAGAGCCACAGTAGGATGCTGGAATAACACAAAAGACACTAAGACTGAAGGGATGGCTTTTAAACAATTGTTCCCTGTTGAATAAGCATCTAAATTGGTTGTAAACACCCAGAAACCAATGTCTAGTGAATATGTAGTTTCTACTCAAGTTTGCATGTGTCTGAGGTCTCTCTCTCTCTCTCTCTCTCTCTCTCTCTCTCTCTCTCTCTCTCTCTCTCTCTCTCTATCTCTCTATCTCTCTCTCGCTCTCTCTCTCTATGCTTGATTCCTTCATTACTGTTTTTTTTTTTCCTTATCAATATAAGTGGTATTTACCCATGAATAAATTCCCAAATCTTTTTGTCTCATTCATATAAAAAGCACTCAAATGCTTTGGAACCGGATCAAGTAGGTTAACTGGGTATGTGTAATAGTTTCTTCTTGTCAACCGTTTTCTTTCTTCTCAAGCACATCCTCTGCTCAGTGATAGATTCTCTTCTCCTCCAGGCGTCCAACAGCTCCTGCAAAACCACCAGGAGTTAATCACACGCTCCTCTCTACTGTTGTACTTTAAAATGTCCATGTGCATGTTGCCCCTAGGTGGCAGTATCTCTTCTGTCTGTTTGTGATCTACTCTAGTGGAGAATGGCAAGGGAGTCTGTGTGATCATGTACCTTTGAGCCATTCAGCTCGGATGTAGTGAAAGAGCAGCATTTCATTTGCTCCATTTTTTTCAATCAGAATCTTTGTAGCAAAAGGGGCTGTAGCAAAACCTAAAAGTATGTCTCTCATGGTAATCCCCAAACTGAAATCTCTGCACAGTAGGCTGGTTATGTGTGACAGATCCTGGATCCCACTGAAGTTTGACTTTACTGCAGCAGTTGTGTGGATTAGCAAATGTTCTGTATAGCAGCTGGTTGTCTTCAGTTTGTGTTCCTGTAGTCGTACTATAACCCTGCTTGGGACTGTCTGATCCACTGTTGGTGGACACGCCCAGATGCTTTTCATAGTGAAGCTTTAGGAAACAGCTGAGCATGGCTCTCAATCAGAGGTGGGTAAGTAAAGTTGACATGCATTTACCAAACTAAAATGGTAGTTGACTACTCTTAGAAGCCTTCTCCTCCTTGAAAAATTGAAAATAATGAAATTAAATGATCATATATTACCATGCGGCTCTTCCAAGTTTGTTTTGGAAGGTCTCAATGCTAGTTTCTAAATTAGCCACTGTGTTAAAACAAGCGCAAAAGTGGATACTTTTCTCACAGGGCGAGGTCAACACAGTATTTCACTTGATTCAATTCAACAAACAGTTCAAATAAGAGTTGCACAAAAGTGTGCGTAATACTTGATCTGGCTTAGGTTTTTGTATTTGGCTCGCTAGTTAGGACGGGACCGTTTCAATTAGTTAGTGGAAATGACAAATTGTGAACGTTTTATACGATTACTAAGATTCACTACTCGTTTATGTACTTTGACAACATTTCAGAGATAAAATGATCTTTTATCAGGAATGTTTTATAAAACCTTTACTAATACTCTAATAATATGTTCATAGGACTATCTGTTTTTTTGGTAAGTTCAGTACATGCGCTCCCCCGCCTCTGATAAAGAGCAGTGCACAGCTGCGCCATGCTTTGCTAAGGGAAGCATCTGGGACTGTCTGCTACACAATGAGTGAAACAGTCCCACTCCGGGCTAGTCGTCCTCTTGCTCATTATTAATGGATGTCTTCAAACACTTCAAACACAAGTACTCTGGGAAAATAACTAGGACAACTCACACATTTATTAACACGATTGTTATTTCAAAGGGACCCAAGCCATTTTGTAACGTAAGCTCTCTGTTTAGACTCAGTTTAAACAGCAGATTCGAACAAAGCTCCTGAAGCGCTCTCTCAGTGTACCTGTGTTTACAGTGGTGAATAAATAAATAAATAAAAAGAGCAGAAAGCTGGGCTGACGTCCAAAGTACAGAGTAGAGAAGTGGTGCTACTGAAGAAGACGCAGGCCAACATGTGACTGGGGTCCCTTTTGAATGTGCTGACTCTAGTTGTCTATCTTAGCGGTGACTACCCCTCCAACACTCTTCTACTTCCTCCTCCTCCTCCCCCTCCTCCTCTCCTACCTGTTCATCTGTGTCATGTGTGACTCACGTCTCACTCTTGTTGTCCTGGCATTTTCCTTCCCACATACAGTATCTTTCACATCTGCCAGCTCTGCATGTCCTCCTCCTCCTCCTCCTCCCTTCCTCTTAGCTACTCTACTCTACATGGATGTCCACTAATATGACAATTAACTCTATCCGCTTACCTCTGTCCCCTTCCCCATCCCCCCTTTTTGATACAAATATGGCTGCATTTGTACAAGCGAAAAAGACAAAGCAAATCATGTAGTTTGTAGAGTCATTCTTTGTTTCTCATTTTAGTTTGATTTCCAGCTGGAGTTTTATTTTCTCCTCTCTATTTTCTTTGTAATTTTTGGTTTGTTTATTTTCTCCTTAGTCTCTGGACACAATATGTAGCTTTGATACTAAAAGAGGTCATTGTCTTTTTCCCATTTCGCTGCGGAGAACATTCCTTTCTCCTTTTTTTTCTTTCTTTCCTTTTTTTTGTTGATATTGCATACGTGTCACTGATTGAAATGGAAGGTAGGTAATGCTTTGCCTACGCACGTGATCTTTATGCAGATGAGAATGTGACAAGCACCCTAGCCTGAGTGACGTCAATGTTTCTCTCTCTTTCTCTCTCTATCTCTCTCTTTCTGTTGTTTACCAATGGTCTTTATCCAAATAAATTATATTCCATCAATTATGATTTGACTCTTAAAGGATTGGATTACGTAGAGCTCTGGTTTTCCTCTTGCCTCCTTAACTTCATTCTGAAGTCCAATATCCCGCTCTATCTTCCAGGTTCATTTCTTTCTCCAGCTTTGTTTTCTTTCTGTTTTGGTAGAATGCATTCCTGTTTGTCCAGCATCTCTCTGTTTGTCGGTGAATTAGTACATTGTCTTATGATTTTCACCATATTGATTTCCACGACTGTTTCTAACAACTGTCATAAGCTCCAGAGGTTGTGTGTTTTCTTATTATACCGCTTAGTTGTCCTCTCTCTGGTGCATAACGGCTCTTCTTTTCTGCGAGGACAAGTTGGTACTGATGTAGAATCTGAGATTACAGGCAGATCAGAAAAAACATTGTAATGCATGCGCAAAGAGCCAGCTGTATTTGGTTTCATACAAAACATTCAAATTACTCTCTCTGCCCTCTTTTCATGACCTGCTTACACTGAGCAGTGTATAACTGTGCATCACAACTTTCAGTTCCTAACTTCCATTGAACAACTTAACATAACCCTATTCATGTTGAATACTTACACTTGAGGACTGCAATGCACTTTAGCTCACTCTCAACCATGCAGTTTATAGAATAAGGCTGACATTACTCTACTACTTAACTATTTTTCTTACCATAAACTATTTCCTTGAACATATCTAAATGAACAAAGTCTGTCAACACTTTCTTACTTTCCAATGTTGTTTGTGGCACGATAAGGAGTCACACATATGTTGTTGTATTGTGAATCAATACAAAGAGTCTACAGCCACACTGGCGGCTCAGTAAGTGGCCCTTTTAGCTAATGCTAACAGCAGCAGGCTAACAAGCTCAAAAGGAAAATGCTAACGCTTAGCTGGTATAATAATAATAACGTTCACAATGTTTAACGTTTTAGCAAGATAAGATAAGCTAATTAGATCTAAACGCAAAGCTGAGTCATTCGTTTACCAGGTATGACCATAAATTAGACCTGATGCTGGCACGAGACGATGAAACTGAAATACTGCTCCAGGCAAGGTAAAAAGTACTATCAAGCGCTTCATTTATTGTAGATTTAGGTTTTTTCACAGAATTGATAAAAAAATAAGAAAAATGCAGAATTTGGCCAGCCTAATCATTCCTATACTAACACTAGCTTCTAGGTGTTATTCTATTTGTGACTCTATAAGTAGCTTTTGACTACTGAGCTTTTCAGGGGTTCTCACATTGGTGAATTACCAACAACATAACCTCTGATGCCATACAGTGTAATGTTAACCTTATCCAATCTAAGTAGTAATCTAATAATTACTATTGTTATGCAGCAATAACTCCCTAGAACGTTATTGAATAAAATCGTAATAACTAAAAGTGCCTCTTATCAAGGAGCCAACACACTGATAGAAGCTAAGCTAGTTAGCCTGTAATCGCTTCCGGATGTTAAATAACTCCTGCCCTGTTGAAGATACTACATGGAGAGAAGAATGGTAAAGAAAGTACCTGCCACTCTCCGCCTGGTTGCTCTCTGATGTTCAGGGAGGCGACTGGGCCCGGAGGATTGACTCTGTGTGAGGGGTTTCCTGCACATTGTGGTTTTCCTCTCTGCTTTTCAGTTCTTTTCCATTGATGTCCATGCATTGTCTCATGAGTCACTGGCAGGGAAGGTTTTTGTGTCTTTTTCTCTTGCATTTTGTGAATCTAATGATGCACTTATGTTGCCCCACTTTTCCCTTTTCTTCATACCTTACCTACTAAAGGAGGGAATACCACTTTATTGGTAAGTGGATGTTAACCAGAAGGGAGTTAAACAAGAGTAACCATTACAAAAAAAATCAAAGAAAATGGGTCGCTGTTCACATCTCAGCAATTGTCTACAAGAATAAAAAATCCAGAAAGAGAAAATTGAGTAGCAGACGATTTGTTTTCTGATTCGATTGATTCAATAATTGTGATCTTTATTTTGTTCCTTCCATTTCTGTGATGTTCCGTCAAGTTGTCTTCTCTTTCTGTTTTGTTTCATTTTTTTTAATCATTACTAAAAAAAAAAACTGAAGAAGTCCTCTTTTTCTACTCTAAAATCTGTAGCTCTGTACTTTCTGCCTTTGCTCTTTAACTTATTTGGTTTACAGTTTTATTTTTGTTTTATTCCCTCTCTTCCTCCTCCTAGTTTTTTTGTTTGTTTTTGCGATTATGATTTCTTCAACTCATTATGGTTTTGCATGCCAAGTATTGCATGCGCTGCACCATAGAGGACTATCTATAAGCCATAATGGAGAAAACCTAGATCTTTTTTTTTTAGATGTTAACCTTCTTTTGGCAAGTACACCGTAGCACTCAATCACCGACCTGAAAACACTCTAATGCTCTTTTTGTCCTTTTTCTTTTTTTTCCTTTTTTTTTTTCCTTTGTTGGTCATCATTTTTTCTACAGAAGCTCCGTCTGCTGACCGCTAACTCTGCAGGAATGCAGTCCACTCTGCTGAGAGAGCACAAGCTCCACAGCGCCCCAAGCAGGAGCCAGGCGGGACAGATGTGCGCTGCAGGAGAGGCTGGGGGTGTGGACGGCAGGAACTCGGCTTTAGGGAACTCCGTCACCCAGGCGTCAGGGAGGAGAGGGAGCCAGAGGGGCCAGAACAAGGGCTCCCACTCCCCCACTCACAGCAGCGACTCGGCCCACTCCCAGCACACCCACACCCACAGGGGGAGGAACTCCCGTCACCACAGAAAGTAAGACTTCTATTTGTCTCAAGCTTTAGGACTTCATGTACCCTACATCTTTCCACTGCCATTCAGACATACTGTCCATTAACAGGGATAATAGTATACAAAATATGTATAATTAATAAACTAAAACTAAATAAAACTATATATTTTAGGTAAAACTTAATCTGATTAAACCTCCTATTGTCTTCGTTTCCCCCCCTTACTTTGGTGTTTGCGGTCAAATTTGACCGGTCCTGTTTTAACTGCTATTACATTAACACAAAAAACATTAATCATCACCAAATTTCATTTAACACCCTTTCAAACTGTAAATATTGGTATACAGGAAAAACTGCAGTAAATATACAAAGAATAGACAATGAACATGTATTGCGTGTGCCAGGTGTGATCCATGTGGGGGGATGGGCACATAAGGGGGGGAACACATCTAGTGTGTGTGTGTGTGTGTGTGTGTGTGTGTGTGTGTGTGTGTGTGTGTGTGTGTGTGTGTGTGTGGTGTGTGTGGTGTGGTGTGTGGTGTGTGTGTGTTGTGTGTGTTGTGTGTGTGTTGTGTGTGTGTGTGTGTGTGTTGTGGGTGTGGTGTGTGTGTGTGTGTGTGTGGTGTGTTTCTGATCCAAATGGTTAGTTTCCTTTTCTTTATGGCGTCATTTTGTCCCGGTAAACAATGGCGGAGCGCAACAGCGGTAATTCCAGTTTTTAAAGTCCTCAAAATGCTACAACTATGTCACAAACTGGATGAATGTGAAGTATTTTGTTCAAAGGGAGGATGAAAGGTAACTTAAGGAGCACTGTTGTAGATGCTGATGTTATTGGTCAGGATTATTCATTTGGATCCCGCTGTACTACGAATCAAAGGACGGCGCAAGTGGAACAATTCACAAAGGGATTAAACTGTTTAAAACACATGCTCAAAGTAAGCCGGATTTTGCCGATGTGTTTATGTGGATTCAAAAGTCGTAAATAATCTACAAAATGGAGGAGACCGATCTGATTGGAGCAACTGTGACAAATAATCCAACCGAAACCGGCATGGACAATGACTATGTTTTAAAAATGCGCTTATCCAGACAAGCCTGGTTTGGACACTTTACGGGCAGAAGAAACATTTCTATTAAAGAAAGAATTATACATTTCTGTCTTTTTATGCCTTTATTACTAACTTGAATTTTTATTAAAATTAATTAGCCAATTGTTTTTTATATTTTATTGTAATGTAGAGACAAGCCTTTTAGTGACAATCATGTATTGCCTTACAATTATATGTAAAAAAAAAAAAAGTCTAAATATGATATTTGGCCTCAAATCATCTGAGGCCTGGCGCCCCCCCTGCGATCTTTGGCGCCCCCCAGGTTGGGAACCACTGGACTAAATCATCCAAAATTCAATGAAAGTGGTGTTCAGCAATTTTATATGTTCAAATGTCAAATGTGAAGGATATCATAAAAGCCTTAATGCCATCAAATGTAAAACAAAAAAGCTACAGTATGATTGATGAAAGTAGTAAATCTGTCAGATTTGACCCGAAGACAACAGGAGGGTTAAAAGATGTAATAAAAATAAGGGCCTTTGTAAAGCTCAGTTGGTCGAGCTGAGGCCCATGTATTGGAGATGGGTCCGCATGTGGAAGACCCGGATTCGAGTCCAACCTAGGACCATTTGCCACGTGCCATCCATTCTGTCTCCCCTTTTCAACACCGTCACTTGCAAAAACCCTGGTGGCCCATAAAATAATAAACGTATAAAAGAAAAAGGACTGATTTTTGGTAGCTATTTCTTGAGGGCCTTATGTGGTATTATCTTCACATTCAACACTAAAGTAGAAGAAAGACAACAAATTAAACATTACTGACATGCCTACCAAGATTTCCAAGTGAAAACGAATTGCACATTTATAACTACTCAAACCTTTCCTGTCACCCCAGGTCAAAAGGGGGCCACTCTTCCAAGCGTCACCACCGCTCCAGTCGGGGTCAGGCGCACCACCGGAGCCAGTCTGCGTCACCGGGGCGTCACCCGCACACGTCAGGCAGGAAGAAGGAGGAGTCTCGGGGCAAACCCAACCTTCGGCAGCGCAGCAGCTCCTGGAGCAGCGGGCACTCGTCTTCACGCTCTGCCTCCAGAGACGGAGGCCCCTCCAAGGCCAAGTCCCCACACAGCAGCCAGAACAACTCCAGGTGGGAGCTTGTTCTCTTTCACACTTTGATTTCCCTTTTCATACAGCTTATAGTGTCATTCTGATCTAATGTGTTGTTCTGACGGTTGGTGTGTCGTGCAGAGAGAAAGACAGCCAGAACCACTCTGACGACGAGAGCCGCGCTCGCCGCCGCTCCCGCAGCTACTCACCAATCCGCAAGAGGAGAAGAGACTCCCCCAGCTTCATGGAGGCCCGCAGGATCACCAGGTAACACATCTGTCCAGCATCACAAACCTCATTATGATCCATCTCCATCTATGATGATATCTAGGAGATCATTATGATTCAGATCTTACCTACTGTATGGATTTTCTTCCACAGGACAGTTTCACACAGAGACAGTTTGTCTGTGTTGAATTGCATTTTTGCTTTTATGAGTCCGAATGAACAACACTTTAGCATAATCCACTTTTGCTGAAGGTATGTTTATTCTCTGCAGTTTAACCATGTTCTATAATTGAAGTGCACTGCTCTCGGGCTGAGGACCACTCTTTTACAACTGCAAATTACAACAATGAGAAGCAACATGAATAAAATGAGGGGAAATGTTCCTGCTCTAACTCACAAGTGTAAATACTAGGAGCCACATCCTGATTCATTAAAGCCCTTGTTGGAGCAGAAATGGAAAAACTGCAGGCACAATTGGAAGTGTTAAAATGAAGTGGTGTGTGTGTAGGTTTGGTTTAGGAAACAGTATGAAGTGTGAGGTTCTCCAGCCCAACGGAATATGCTATTTCATGTTTTTCTACTTTCATGATGTGAATGTCTATATTATCTCCACAGCTCTGTGTCTGCTCTGGAGAACGTTTAGGCTCCTTATATTATCATTCAGCTATAGGGGAACAATCACTCAATCCTCTTGTGTGGCTCCAAGCAGAGGATGCAGCAACAGTGCTATTGCCAAACAGATAGTGCTGTTAGTGCAAGTGTAGGAGAATAAAGTCTGAGATACTCCAGTGGCCGGCTTATAGCCATATAGTCTGTATCCAGTATAACAACATCATAATAAACCTAAGGTGAATCGCAGCATTAACCCTATAATTGACTTGTTGAGTCCTTTGCTGCCTGGACTTTGATTGATGTCCAACATTGGAAAATATTAGCTCTGCAAAAATACAGGTTAACTGATATATTTTTGTTGTTTTTTCACCCTTAAAACCTGCAGAGGAATTACTCTGTTCAGCCATGAATAGCCGGCAGTCTGCCTTCTGTTTTACTGGCATCTCTTTCTACTCATTTATATTAATCAGGTTGGTCTGAACAATAAAAAACTCCCTGGAGTATTAAAAGAAGAAAATTACCATTTATTAAAACCCAAGAGGAAATTCAGTTATTGTATACACACATTATAAATATACACAAGCATAAGATGTATACACACATTAAGTGTAGATATCCAGAAAACATGGTTATGGCTAGAAAGGATCCGTCTTGTGTAAAACTCTCGCGAGAGTTTGCAAGTCACGTGGCTGAATGTTTACGTTTGGCAGGCAGCCTTTCAGTTACGATCGTTAACATCAGTGGGCCACAGCAAATGATGGTGAGCAGCTAAACTATCTATTAATGATGTCAATGACAAGGAGTGTGATTGTTGAAATAGGGTGTTAGCGGTCTTGCTGTTCAAAGAAGAATGACAACAGTGTAGATCACCAACACTGGTTTATTTTTTATTCACATACAAGTCAACACATTAAAAGTCCCAAGATAGCTCCTGGTGCAATAAAATGTTCCCTTTCAGTGTTTTACTATTATATCTGATGTTCCTCTATTAATATTGCTGCTGCATTAATGTGTATGTTGCATGTTACTGCTGTAGATGTGTTTCCGAGCCACTCCGATTACAAAGAGAACGTGACGTCAAATTTACACAAGACGGATCCTTTCTAGCCATAACCAGAAAACATGGCAGCTACACGCCCACAAACTGTTGGTCTGATGGGGACTTGAACCTGTGACCCTTGTTTCCAAAGCCATGACCCCACAGAAAGAGCTACTGCTAATGCAATAGAACTCAACAGCATCTCACATTCCTCAAAAAGGACCATAAACTCAACATGTCTTTGAAACACTTTCAACAAGAACTGATCATTAGAGCCTCCATGAAGGTGGGTATCTATTTAGGAGTGTTGTATTACTGCATCAGTTTCAGCCACCTGCACCTAATAAAGTTATAGCTGAGTGTACAGAACGTTAAGAGCATAAAGTCATTACAGAAAGTAGGATTATAAAGGCCAGGAGAATTCTGTATTAATTCATTTAGCTTGTTTGATGTCTTTATTTATTCATTGATGTACTGATTTGTTTGTTTGGTATTGTTTATTGGTCCATTAAATATGAATCAGTGAGCTGCTTGATTTAATGCTCCTCCATACTGAGAGCAGATTGGGTCTTTTATCCCCCTCTGCTAATGATAATAAGCTCAATTACAGTTAACTTATCTATAAAACTCATCAAATCTACTTTTATAGCTTCTTTTCCCATGCAATTCTCTATGAGCTTGTATCACTTGAAATGCCGTCGGTGAGTTATGAGAACACAGAGAGAAATCTCCCACACTACTGTGAGAGCGTCACCTCTACTCTCTCATACAAGTGTTAATAGACGTGGGTGAAATGTGTGTACCTTGTCGTCTTTCACTCCAGTCCTAAAGGTCCTGACGCCAAGACAACGGGATGCTGCTGAATGGAGCTGCCGCAGGCTAGTTACCCTGGTAACAGTTGCCGCGCAGCAGGAACGGACCAGTCTGACACCAGAAGCTCGGCTGAACAGCAAAACCATCAGAGCTCCCCTGAGTAAACCTGGCCTCCTCCTGTTTCTCTTTTTCTGTCCTCTTTGTGCTCCTTCAGCGCAGAAACTCACCAACTCTAAAGCGACGCCCCTCTGCGCTCATTCACTAATGTTGTAACACGGGGATAAAGAGATTAAAACGCTATCAAGGTTTATAAAAGAGGATATCTTTCCATTGCACAGGCAGATATAAAGACAAAAGCCAAGGCTGAGTTATCTGCATGCTGCTGCAAAGACAAGGTGAAGCAGGCCTTGCAGCAGCAGGATACCTTGATAGCGTTTATCTCTGCGCTGGGTGTCGGCCTCCACTGAGGAGACAAGGCTCTTTTGGGAACTAAAAGCTGATTACCTTACAGGAAGCACTGCCAGGGTGGCTATTAACATGGCAATCTAAGCTTAAACTAACCACATGCTTTTCTCTGCCCTGTATATGTGTGTGCGTGCGTGCATGCTTTGTGCGTGTGTTCCTGAGTAAGACTACCATCGGAGACGGAGACACATTTCAAATTAAAGGCAGGTTAATTAGGGATGGCATGTGAGGACAAAGGCTGTGTCCCAAATTTGGTCAAGGCTGTTGTTTGTGTCAGTGTCAGTATTAAGTAAAAACAGGTACTTAGGGTAAAGTTCTTTACACAACAGGGAGTCTTTTTCTTTGTATTGAATATTTTCCAATGTGAAGATAACAAAGCGAAAAGTTTGTTAATTGATTTTTCCAGAAAAAGGACAGTTTTCTGAACTTTTGCAACATTAAGCAACCAATCACATTGAGGATACTTACACATTTACAGTAGGTAAATGTTTTGCATAGGGAACTCAATTTCACTCAGAAATTTTTGCTTAAAGGAAAGTTATCTAAATAGAGAAGAATGTTCAATCAATGAAATCAATTATTTTCTCTTGAGTGATGCGAATCTATATAAATATTTTATAGTGTAGCAACTCTGTCTGTTTGTGTGTGTGTGTGTGTGTGTGTGTGTGTGTGTGTGTGTGTGTGTGTGTGTGTGTGTGCGTGTGCGTGTGCGTGTTAAACAGCTTGAACTTGTTAACACATAAACTGCTCTCTTTCAGATCCTGTACTGATCATAACTTCCCCACTCCTCTAACCTAACAATGATTGTCTCTCAACCACTAAGTCTTAATACAACATGTGTTAAACATCCATGAACACTAACTCGTCAAACCTTAAATGTGTCAGATGTAACCCCCTCCTCTCTCCTCTCTCCTCTTTCCCCTCTCCCCAGTGCTCGCAAGCGGCCCATCCCGTACTACCGGCCCAGTCCTTCGTCCTCCAGCCTGGACAGCAGCCCGTCGCGCTCCAGCCGCAGCCGGAGCCACAGCTCAAGCAGCTCCAGCCGCAGCAGGAGCCACAGCCGGAGCCACAGCCGCAGCCGGAGCTGGAGCCGGAGCCGCAGCCGGAGCTGGAGCCGCAGCAAGAGCCCCTCCCGCAGCCACCACAGCTACGACAGCCGCAGCAGCTATGACAGCCCCGGAGTCTGACACTAAACACGCAGCACGTGAAGAAGGGAAACAAAAACAACCAGAGGAGAATCATGATCTTTAACGGGGTCTCCACAGGGCCTCACTGCTGTCCAACCAGGGCCCAAACTCCTCGCCCCTGGACCATCATCTCTCCCTGAGCCTGGATCAAAGTGGAGAAACGTAATTTGATATAGCACATCACTCTGAAATTGGCTATCACTGTTCACGTCTTCACAAAGGCATTAAAGGAAATGGGTCACCACATGTCGAAATTAATTAGGTATAGCCCAAAGAACAAATCTCGCTGTATGTTAGCACTTTCTTTCTCTTCTTCCACAACGCAACCAAAAATGAATTCATTAAGAACTATATACTATATAAATATATATAAATATATCCTAACAGTAGGAGCTGAGTAGAAGATAAAAAGAGGACACATCAACTGCTTAATGAACATTTCTGACTTTTTTTTTCCAATCATGTCCTCATCTGCCTCAAAGACTTACATCTCATCGAGGAGCAGAGATCAACAGCAGTTAGAACAAAAGAGAAATCGGCGGATGAAATGGGGAGCAAAAAAGAAAATGAACTTTTTTTATGATAAAATTGTATTGTATAGGTTTGTCTGTATAGTAAACTCTTACGTTCTGGCTTTGTAAACTATGCACTGTATATTCCATCTAGTTGAAGGAGGTTTGTTGAACATGATGCATCAGGAGAGACTGGCAGGAAGTAGAGGTGCATCAGAGCTCCCACTGGCCTATACAGTATGTCGGGAGGGGGGAATTATTTATGATGTACTTTTACTCTTCCCTGTTTAAATTATTATGTTGATTCTGCTAATCCTGACTGTATGTGAGAGTGTTTGTGTGTGTGTACCTCCTCTGCAATGTCCAGTGAGGTAATTATTTATGTGTACACTAAGGCTGCTGTATGGTAGTGTACAGAAAACTGTCTGCAAAATATCTACCATGCACACACACACAAACACACACGTGTTGACCACAGCTATTTATGATCCTATTGTATTTATTTGGTTATTTATTGGTTATTTATTATTTAATGTATTTATCATGAACTGCAAAGCAGTTGGATCATGCTTTAAAGACGAGATTGTGATGCAAACATGTTCCCTGTACGTTTATGTCCACAGAAATCATGACAAGGCTGACGCCATCAGGGTGGAGATTTGACTGCAGTGTGTTTAACATGCTCTTTGTAGCCGTTGGGCAGCAGACGGTCTTCGCACACAGTTTCTCCCACGAATGCCACTACGGCACCCCCGGCCTCTTAGTAGTGGTTCATTTGAATGCAACCATTATGACTCTGCTTGTATTAAGGACGGTGTGGAAAGAGAAGTCCATTATTCTACTCTACCGTATGTTTCCAACCTATACATATTCCAATCCCTTGTATAATTGGCCGCAACATGTTTCTGTCACAGGTCCCCTTGTTACCAGGAAAATATATGTGATGTAACCTAGCATAGCAGAGACGAGACACACAGCTTCAGTTGTACGGTGAACAAACTGGCGACACAATCAGGGATCACCCTAAGTCTTCCTTACCATTCGACCACTCAGTCACTCAGTGTTGCATACCCAGTGTAACCCAACTGAAATAATCTGCAAACGTGTTCATTTATTGCAAGTATAGCATTGCCCCTTTGGTTCTCCAAGTCATTCTTTGTAGTGTACAAGTTATAATACCTGACAATAAACAGAAACAAATGGGGAAATAATTATGGTGTTCTTCTTCTTCTGCTGGCGTTCTGCACTTATTTTCCTACAGATGGCACTGATGAGAACTGTCCAATACTTGATACTCATGACAACTTTGGCCAGAATGTTCTCCAGCTCTGTAGAATTTAACTTGGGCAGATAATGAGACTGGCCCAATTCCAAACTGACCCCATCACCCTTACACTCTGTGATGAGTGAACTCAGTCTGTAGTCACACTCTCAAACGAGAACTGTTCTAACTTGTATTAATCAGCTAAATCTATTGGACAAAAGAAAATATTTCACTTGTTTTAAAATCTGTTGATGAGGCACTTGGCTTTTGCAACAGTCCCTGTCAATATACATTATATACAACATATACATATAAGTTGTACAATCAAATGCACACGTGCAAAAGATCCCCCCCCCAAATTATCCCCTTGTGCCGATTTTGGATAGCAACTGGTGGCATCCCATTGGTCCCAAGTTTGTTACCGAAAGAACAATTTAAAAAGAACACTGTGAACCCTAAGACTCACAGCTGAGCTGGACCCTATAGTGCAGTGTTACTGGGTTCAATACAACACCTATATCAGAAAGAGAACATCTCATGAGAGTGCCATGAGGCTGGCAGGAACACATCTGTGACATACAATCAGCCAAACAGAAGTAATCTCAGGCTGTCAGCAGCTTTGAGAAGCCACAGATTGTTGGTATTAATAATATGAGGGGTTTGCAGAGAAAGTCACCAACACTCATCTGATGACAGGCAATTGTGAAGCTGAATGTAAGTTGAATCTTATGGATAATGTGTAGGGTCAACAGTTGGTCCCCGTAGATACGCTGCATCCATGCGATGGGACCAAGTCATTTGCAAGTCCTTAGCGTTAAGTTTCGGGTCATAAACAGTTCATATAAACCCAAACATTTTGCATACTGCAATTTTTTGTTTTTTGTTGGCTACTGCATAGTTCTTGTATGTGGGCAAAATTACCTATTTTATCCTGCTTGTGCTCAGCTTTTTTATATTCATGTCACAAAATGACAATCCCCTGTGTATCTAACTCATGTTAGCTGACAATAGCAAAGAACAGTCTGTGCTGTACTGTACTGTACTGTACATCTCATCATGGCTTATGAAGAGCCATGTTAGAAATAGCATGTTAGTCTTATCTGAGTCTGGGTTTCTATGTGTTCAGCAGGCAGAATGACTCCCCCAGAGAGAGGGAGGGGGGGATTACACACAGTGGGGTTAACAGTACAGTGCACTAGGCAGCTGTAAGTGGGGAGGGCCTCCCTTTGGATTCCAATCCAGTGCTACCTCTGCCTCAAATAGATATTCTGGTAGCTTCCAAAAATACGACCTGGGGGCTTGAGGGAGGGCTCTGTTGACGGGGGCAGTGTCAGTGTGTATAAAAGCTCTCAGCTGAGAGGTAGACAGCACGTTGCGGGAAAACATTCTCACAGAGGCCAAAAAGCTCTTCCTACACAGCCAACAGCTCTACACTACAGCCAAAACACAGCAGCCATGACAGAGAGACGTATTCCTTTCACCATGCTCCGCACCCCCAGCTGGGACCCATTCCGTGACTGGCACCAGAGCCGCATCTTTGACCAGACCTTCGGTATGCCTGCCTTTCCCGAAGACCTCAACACATTCCCCAGCACCCACTGGCCGGGCTACATGCGGCCCTCTCTCATGGCCCCAGACATGCCCTCCATGGGCCAGATGAACACCATGGGCCAGATGAACACCATGGGCCAGATGAACCCCATGGGCCAGATGAGCTCCATGGGCCACATGATGCCCCAGAACTCCATGATGTACCCACCGGCCATGATGGCCCATCAGGCCCGTGCCATGTCCCGCCAGCAGAGCAGCGGCATGTCAGAGATCAAGCACAGCCAGGACAGCTGGAAGGTGTGCCTGGACGTCAACCACTTCTCCCCTGAGGAGCTGGTGGTGAAGACCAAGGATGGAGTGGTGGAAATCACTGGTGAGTCCCCATTTCTCTCTCACTGATCACCTGCTTACTGTACTCTAGTGAAGGCTCATTCAATAAGCACAGAATATGTGTTTAATAATTAGTTGTAGGTACTACAACAGCATCATACTAGTGACGTAACTAATGATGAATTTCATTGTTGATTAATCTGATGATTATTTAATCAATTCTTTAGTCAGAAAATGGGGTTCCCAAAGCCTCTGATGACATACTCATTATTTGTATCTAACATATAATAGACATTATGTCATTGAGGGGTAAAAAAAAGGGAAAGTATTTACATTTAGGAAGTTGGAATCAGAGACCATTTTTTCTTTAAAAATAAACTGATTTATCGTTAGTCAAAATAGTTGGGAATTCATCAAATAGTTGAAAAGTAATCTTTGCAGGTCTCACTCTCTTATTCTATAGCCTTAACAATATGTTAAGACTGAACTCCTGACAAAACATCTACAATTCTGATATAATAAATATAACTTCACGTGCTAACAATTTATTACCGTGTCAAACCGACTGTTCATTCCTGAGGGCATTAGAAAGGACAAACAATAAAGTGAATAAGAAAGGAGCACAATATTTAGATTTCCTCACGGACTGAAACGAGAGGTAGGAGCTCAATTCCTGTCAGGAAGTGCCGGTCTTTTAATGAATTTACAATAAAGAAATAACTTCTAAAACAAAAGCATATTAAAGACGCTCACTTGGTTTGCTTAGGTTTGTCTCTCATGTGTGTAAGAACAACTGCCACCGTGCAAACATAAAGAACAAGATAAAAAGGCAGGACACATTTATTTTTTTCAAACACAAGGCAGATGCATTGCTGCACAGTTACATAATATACTGAGACAATATACTGCGTTCCAGCACACTCGAGGGCGGCGGCTTTTGGATACATGCCTGCAAATGCAAAACAAAACACAATGCAACATGTGGGAGTCGCCTTTAACAGCAGCTCCAGAGTGCCCCAACTGTTTTATTAAAAAGCCGGTGTGAAAGCCGAGTGAAATATTTTCATTCTCCGTGTAATGTGAAGGACCAAATTGAAATGTGCCAACCTGAAGAAATGTGAAATTGATCATACAATAGCTCAGCTCTCCAAAAGGCCTTGAGCTCCTCTTTTCTCTGAGTCAGACTCGGCTTCTCTGTCAACCATTTCTCTAAGAATCATGCTCTCATAGGAGGGGATTTAGCCGTGACACACAAAGCGTGTCCTGCTGCTTTACAAGGACTGCTGGATCTAGTCCAGGTACAGGTTCCATGGCCGGACTATGGCCTGCTCACTGCTGAGAGACAGGAACAGATAAACAAAGCACGGGGTCTCGTCCAAGAAGAATTTGCCACCTCCTGTCACAAAAGAGAGGGGGTTATGTGATTTAAGATCATCAAACTCTGAAGGGCAACCTCTTTTCATGAGTCCTCATTTGAAAGAGTGCAGACTTGCCTCAAACAAACTCACAATAGTAGTGTCTTGTTTAAAAGGGGGACAGCTCCCTGCGGTAGTCAGCCATTATCAGCCCGTTGTCATAACAAAAATATCATGCTTCTTTATTTAGAGCAAGAATAAAGGGTGGTGTTTCATCATGATAGCCAGATATCTTAGTGCCCATGGGACACTGACAGAAGCTGAATGATGAGGATCTTTTTTGAGTGATCTGGCTGTGGCTACATGGGGGGGGAAGGCCAGCACAAATATTCCACAAAAAAGAAGCCCATTCATTGTAGCCTACTGTTGGAATTCATTTCACATTTACATACAGTTTAGTACTAGATAACATTGCACATTTGTTCTTTTATGGAACAATTCGAGGAGAAGATTGACGCCACTCTCATTTGTGTGTAGCATATGAAGCTAGCACAAGGACTCGGTTGTCTTAGCTTAGCACCAAAACTAAAGGCCCTGACTTTCAATCTTTCCTCCTGTACTGATACGGCTTACTTTGCTGCATAATGACTTTTAGAGAACTGCTGATAAATGTGTGGATTTGACATATAATATAACGTAATTTATGAGGTCCTTGTAGACATATTTCATTAACGCAGACCCGGCGCCAGAACAAATCTACAGAGGGCATATGATTTTCATGGGAGGGCACACAAAACCGTCATGTTCCGCGGCCTGAGACTGCCAAGGCACACTGTTGTGGGGTAGTTTGAAGTTTCATAGAGGGTTCTCAAACATATAGGGTTTCCCATTAGTGTACCAGGCGCTACAGTGGAATTTTCTTCTGCAACACTCCCCACACACACAGTATACCCACGACTTACACGTAGCCTATATGCCGTGAGCTGATTATCAGCTCACGGCATATACGTGTAAGCAGGGGTAAAGTGCTATTTTTATAAGTGGGAAGTTGACCTAACCTCTTCTAGGGGGGTCCGGGAGCATGCTCCCCCTGGAAGATTTTTTTTTTTAATATTGAAGTTAAATGCATCAATCTGGTGCACTTTGAGAGCAAAATGAAGAGATCTATGGATACATCTCTCAAGACACATATGAAACAGAACTGTAAACAGATTTACTTTTTCTTTATGGATATTTTACAAATCACTCCCCTTTTAAACTGTATTCTTCTTTTACTGTCATATAGTATTTCATATCTGTTTTTCATCTATTACTCTGACTGACATCACATACATCGTAGCATTAAAGTTCGCAGTTTATTTATAACTAAAACAATTATTTTTATTTTTATAAATAATAAAAAATGTGTTTATTGGGGGAGGGCAGGAATGTCAAATGGGAGGGCCTGGCCCTCCCACGGCATCGGGTCTGCATTAACGTTGTCATTTAGTGCTAAGCTAACAGGTTGCTAGCTAGAGTGTTTATATGTTGATAAGTGTTTCTCTAAATCTTAACGAAACTTCTTACCCCTACTTGTGATTTCTGCATCGCCTTAAGATAACCTAACCCAAGCCCTAAAGCAAACCACTGATGCTACAAGGAAACATTATTCTAACAGGAAGGAAAGACAATTTAAAGAGGGACCAGACTCCAACAGACTTCTACACAA